GTTTACATATATTAATATATAAGTTGACATATATTTTAAACATTTTTTTGCTCTTTCTTATGTAGATATTTAACGACGTAACCCCATTCCCCGTTGAGGACTTTGTCGATCTTCGTAGGCGTTGGGCGTATATCCACAATCTGCTTAAAGGTCTTGCTATTTGATTTATTGAGATGTGCTAATGACTTATTAATTTCTGTAAATGATGATGTGAATATTTCTTTCGACCTAAATATATTGTCTTTGATGTAAATATTAATCTTGACTTTTGATGCACAATGTTAGCTGTTTTTTATGCTCTTTCTGCATGGTTAACGAAAATACAGTTGCTGTAAATTATCTAATATGGTAATAATAGTTACAGGATAAAAAATGGGAAGAATTTGAGAAGTAGAGAATTACAAATTTAAAACAGATGAAGTTTTGACAGCGGTTATAAAACCTAACCGTGATTGTATATTGAACGGTAACTAAAATAATATAAATTACAAAATATTGACGCTGAGAATCGAACCTAGGACCTTCAGTTTTATCACAACGGTTGTATTAAATAATCGTTGTGATATGGCGTGCGCTTTGTAGAATACTATAACGGTCACTTGACTGTGATTGTAAATATCATATATTCAACAACACTCTACATAACAATGTCTGAATTTGTGTTATTATATATATTTTTCAACAATTACTAAATGAGTTTTCCGTAATAATGTCTACTACCGTATATTTTGTAGCAGCAAAGAATAAGCACTTTGTAAGGTGAAACTATTGGAGTTATTTCTTCCCCACCCAATAGTATCATAACTATATCAACATCAATAGGAACTGGAAGAAATAATTCGACTAACAATGTTAGTTGGTAAGTTGTTCGTAAGAAACTCAAGGTCCTAATCTCCTGAAGAAGGCAGAGTATTTCTAACTGAAAGAGTAATATCCATCCCCTATTTGCCAAACCACATACATTGAAACTCAATTCAAATACCTACCGATGATTTTTAAAGAGGAGAATGATAAAGTTGCACACTAATGTTAACAATAAGGTCAATATTAATCATATTTCTTTTGGTCCAATAATCTAGCAGTTAGAAAATTCACCTTTTTAAAAATGAACAAGTGAGATATTGTAGCACAACAAAATTATTGGGCCTTAACTCAAATGAAATCACCATGTTATACTTGTACGTTGCGGTGATGAATGATGTGCAACCTCTCCCACTAGAACATTGTCCATATGTGGATTTATCCTATTATAATCCTGAAGATGTAAGGGATTTTCTCGGTGGATATAAGTGTCTGGACGTAGGGATTTTGTAAGTTTGATGCACATAAGTATATAGTTGAATATACACATTATCATTTTTTGTATTTCCTCAATTAATTTATTCATTTACTTTAACCATTTAGGTGCATTCACCACATTTGTAGAGTTGAATAAATCGAGTGTTTATGGAATCTTGGATCCGCTTTTTACTCGATGGGCGTATAATGAACCAAAAGACATTCAAGAGTACCTAAAAAAATAGTTAAATGAGGGAGGAAAAGAATGTTACTTGGCACCATTTCTCTATTCGTAAGTATTTTTGTAATTGATGTTTATGTGCTCAATATTTAGTTTTGTTTTAGCAAATACTAATAATATATATGCTCGTGTTTATTCAATGATCATTATCAATTGATCATAATATCATTTAGGACGAATACGATAATTGTATTGTGTTCCTTCCATGATCCAGTGAACAAGAAAATGAAAGAGATTATTAATTTGTAAGTGTATGTTTAATTCATTTTCTTTGATATTGTAAGTAGTTTAGCATGTAATATGTTTAATTCATATTCAATATACAGTATTGTGGAGCAAGTGAATATGATGAACAATGTTTGAAGAAAGCCCTCATGGATCACTCCTAAAGTAAGTGACATGATTACCTATTTCTTTCATTTACATTCATTTGTGGTTACATTCATGTGTGGTTACATTCATTTGTAGACGAGGAAATAACTCGGAACATACGAGTGTGGGTATTATGTCATTAAACACATGTTAAACATTTTCCTTGTCGATATTGTTGATTCATGGGATAAGGTATATATGTCATAATATGTTTACATATATTAATATATAAGTTGACATATATTTTAAATACTTTTTTGCTCTTTCTTATGTAGATGTTTAACGACCTAACCCCTTCCCCGTTGAGGACTTTGTCGATCTTCGTAGGCGTTGGGCGTATATCCACAATTTGCTTAAAGGTCTTGCTATTTGATTTATTAAGATGTGCTAATGACTTATTAATTTCTGTAAATGATGATGTGAATATTTCTTTCGACCTAAATATATTGTCTTTGATGTAAATATTAATCTTGGATTTTGATGCACAATGTTAGCTGTTTTTTATGCTCTTTCTGCATGGTTAACGAAAATACGGTTGCTGTAAATTATCTAATATGGTAATAATAGTTACAGGATAAAAAATGGCGCTGAGAATCGAACCTAGGACCTTCAGTTTTATCACAACGGTTGTATTAAATAATCGTTGTGATATGGCGTGCGCTTTGTAGAATATTATAACGGTTACTTACTGTGATTGTAAATATCATATATTCAACAACACTCTACATAACAATGTCTGAATTTGCATTATTATATATATTTTTCAACAATTACTAAATGGGTTTTCCGTAATAATGTCTACTACTGTATATTTTGTAGCAGCGAAGAATAAGCACTTTGTAAAGTGAAATTATTGGAGTTACTTCTTCCCCACGCAGTAGTATCATAACTATCAACTTCTATAGGAACTGGAAGAAATAATTCGACTAACAATGTTAGTTGGTAAGTTATTCGTAAGAAACTCAAGGTCCTAATCTCCTGAAGAAGGCAAAGTATTTCTAACTGAAAGAGTAATATACATCCCCTATTTGCCAAACCACATACATTGAAACTCAATTCAAATACCTACCGATGCTTTTTAAAGAGGAGAATGATAAAGTTGCACACTAATATTAACAATAAGGTCAATATTAATCATTATTCTTTTGGTCCAATAATCTAGCAGTTAGAAAATTCACCTTTTTAAAAATGAACAAGTGAGATATTGTAGCACAACAAAATTATAGTTACATTGAAGAACTCTACACCAAAAATTATTAGTATTCTTAATTAGATACCAAAACATCTTCATTATCTTCATTAGAAAAACATCATTCATAATATCATATTTATATAATTATTTTATCATGCACACTAAAAGATTTTAATAAACAAATATTTATTTTAAAATAGAATGATTAAATAATTTTGTATAACAATTTACTTTAAACAATAAAACAATTATGAGTTTATGACAGTGCATTATTTGGCATTTCCTATTGTTTGTAAAAAAATAACATCAACTTGAATGTTTATTCAAAATCACATCATATTTATTGATTTAAACATAAATTAACGAATTGTTATAAAACTATACATTTATTTATTTACACTTGCTATATTATTCCAATACTCCCCCTCTAGTGTGAGTTCACAATGCTCCCTCACTTGTACCGCCATTGACATCTTGTAACGGAACACCACTTCCTAGGGCCATTTCGATACAATTCTCTTGCTAGGGCCATTTCGATACAAGTCTGTTCCGGTCCCTTTCTTGAACCAAAGGCTCTGATACCATGTTAGGAGGAGTTACCGGGAGCATCGACACATAGTGTAGGAATAAGCACCTTTGTGAGAAGCACACCACTTATCCACCTAAAACCTTAAGATGATAGGTGAGTGGGTTCTCCCACTTATATATGCTCAATTCTTCACATTCTTATCCAATGTAGAACTATTTCTCCACTTACTCACACTTGTTATATTATTCCAACAACCACATACATTGAAACTCAATTCAAATACCTACCGATGCTTTTCAAAGAGGAGAATGATAAAGTTGCACACTAATATTAACAATAAGGTCAATATTAATCATATTTCTTTTGATCTAATAATCTAGCAGTTAGAAAATTCACCTTTTTAAAAATAAACAAGTGAGATATTATAGCACAACACAATTATAATTACTTTGAAGAACTCTACACCCAAAATTATTAGTATTCTTAATTAGATATCAAAACATCTTCATTATCTTCATTAAAAAAACATCATTCATAATATCATATTTATATAATTATTTTATCATGCACACTAAAAGATTTTAATAAACAAACATTTATTTTAAAATAGAATGATTAAATAATTTTGTATAACAATTTACTTTACACAATAAAACAATTATGATAGCGCATTATTTGACATTTCCTATAGTTTGTAAAAAAATAACATCAACTTGAATGTTTATTCAAAATCACATCATATTTATTGATTTAAACATAAATTAACAAATTGTTATAAAATTATACATTTATTTATTTATAGTTAAACATATATTTTAAAAATTTTAAGTAATAGTTTTATTTGATTATTCTTTTTAGAATGGAAAGATTAAATAATATTCCATAACAACTTCTTATCTCAAACAATTAAACACCTCTGACAGCACATTCTTTGTCATTTCCTATAGTTGAACTATCAACATTATTGTCATGTGTCTCGATTTTTGAGTCTTTATTTAGAGTATAATGTAACTTGAGTTTTGTCCCATTTGTATGTGAATTTGACATATTCAAGATGCCAATTAGTAGCTGGCGCCAGCAGCTTATATTTGACAACTTGCTCATAATTTCATGTCAACCCATTCTATTGACAGTAACCAAACTTCTAGAGCAGTTGAAAAATCTTGTCAACTTTTAATCATTGCTACAAATCTCAACTACCAATATAATCACAAAAACATATATATGAAATATAGGATTTTACAAAATTACAATAAATTGAAACATCGAATTGCATGACTTGTTTTTTTTTATAAATAAATTAGATATATCATCTGCGTGCAATTGTAGAGATTAATACAACAAAATTCTTTATTAAATTTTACACAAATAATTTTGTGCTTTCCACATCATCTACTATGAATCCACCATAACAAATTACTCAAAGAGTTTCCATCATCAAAACCTTTCAAAGTTCTAATATTCTTCAATGCATTTTCCTTATCATAAACACCTTGCAAAGCATAAGTAAACCCTTTCCACCCTTCATTACTCAAAGTTGGCAATGTCCATTCCACAAGCTCCTTAGCATAAACACCATCATTGAACAAATTCTCAGTGATAGGCAACAATGGCAAAACTTGTATACTAAGCCGACATTCACGGCACGCCGACGAAGCCCACCAAAGACTACTGTCTCTCTTGTTCGCCCACAAAACTCCGACAATCGGATTTTGTTTAGCAAAATCAGTACCATACACATTGTTCTCGGCTTTCACATGCCACCAAGATTGCGCCGCGTTAATTTCCAACGCTAAAAGTGTCGATCCAACCACAACCAGATCTTCGTCACCATAAGCTAAACCTATTAACGTAACTGAATAATACGCATTCACAGCTTCACTCGTACTTTCTTGATTCCTTCCGTCTCTGAATTCGGTCAACCCCGAAGCCCAAGAATGTAACTTGTAAGGATCAAAATTCCTTAAAGTTGGATAGTTTGGATTATCCCCTAGACCCAAGTTCATAAAATCTTTCAAAAGTGAATAAACTATTGGCTTATACTTTTGTCCCCAATCTTGATCAATCTTTGCAAGAACTCCAATTCCATAAAGAAAATAACCTAAATGATAATGATGATCATTATAAACACCAAAACCAAAATCAGCACCAACATCATTCACCCCTTGTTGAGTAACCAATCCACCCCAAGTTTTCTCATACAAAAAACCATTCCCTTTGAACTTTCCATCTAACCATGGCTCAATAGTTTGCTTCAAAAAACCCTTAACAACCGGAATCACTTTCTCATAAGAAACTTCTTCAGCTATCAAAGCAAACCTTGCAGCTCTTGCAACAATCTTACCATAAAAATACGACGAAGTCGTCGTAATCGACGCAACATTCAACTCATTAACATCTTTCTCAAGAGCAGAAACAACTTCCTCGTATGATTCTTTTGTAACACCTTTACTAGAATGCCATGTTACATTAAAAGAATCGGTTTTCAACAACCATGAATTTCCAACAACACCAACAAGATCACCATCAATGCTTCTATACTTAAAATCGTTCAAAATAGTAACCTTATGATCTTTACTATTAGACAAAAGCTTAGCATGAAGAGGGTGTGCTAGCATGAGTAAATCACCGGAATTTTGAGTCTCCCATTTATAAACTAAACCGAATTTATTCTCGATCTTCGCATAGCCCGAAACCGGATAACTCGAGCTGAATTCATCGAGAATTTTCTCATTATTCGAATTAGAAACACTTGCAATACGAATTATACCGGAAAATGGATCGGATATAACCTCGGAACCGAGATGGTTGAAGTTAATTGGTGAAGAAGTGTATATGATCCATTTCTGAGTATTGTTGAGTGAAAGTGTATATTTGGTTTTCTTGTTATCGAATGTAGAGAAAGAAACAATGGTGTGAATAGTTTTGATTGAAAGAGGTGTTGGTTTTGTGACTAGAGCAGTTACAAAAGGACTTCCTCTAACGAGAAAAAATCGTAGATTCGAAGTGGGAATATCAAGAGTCACACCAAGATCACTGTACGAGGATATAACATGGTTTATGTTTGTTTGAGGTTGTTGTGTGGATGAGATAGTGAGATCTGGTGAGAAAACCTGGTAGAGCAATGCTGTTGAGAAGAGGAGTAAAGGGTATGAAACTGAGAGGGAGGAGTTTGAGGATTGGATGAGGTAAGGGTGAATGTATTCAGGTTGGTCACCATTTTTGAGAGCAAAGTTTTGGAAGAAAGAGTTTGTAGGGAGGGGTGTGGATAGCAAGTTTTGGGAGAAGAAGTTGGAAGGGTTTGGGAGAATGGTTGATTGAGTTTGAGGAAATAGGTAAGGAGGAGAAGACATTATGTGGTTTATGTATTTTTTGGTTAGGATTGGTTTTTATAGGTAATGAAATTATGAATTTAGGTGAGATTGTTGAGAATATTAAAGTTGACTTTCTAATAAACTTTTTAGAGTTTTGTTTATGGTAATTAAAGTTTTTAAAGAATATGTTTTTAAAGTTTTTAATTAATTTCTTTTTCATGGTAATTACTCTTTTGAATATTTTTATCGGTTTAGGAAATACAAGCATTTAGAGTTATTTAAAAAACTTTTTGTTTAGTTTTTTTGGTTATTTCTATTTAAAATTAATTTTTTGATAATGTATCATATATATTTTTTTTATAGTTTTATTTATGGTAATTAAATTTTTTGAGAATACATTATGTTTGTTTGAAGAAGTGTATTTGGATTTTAATTAAATTCCTTTTCATGGTAATTACTCTTTTGAATATTTTTATCGGTTTAGGAAATACAAGCATTTATAGTCTATTTAAAAAACTTTTTGTTTAGTTTTTTTGGTTATTTCTATTTAATTTTTTGATAATGTATCATATATATTTATTTTTATAGTTTTATTTATGGTAATTAAATTTTTTTAGATATATGTTATGTTTGAAGAAGTATATTTGAATTTTAATTAAATTCTTCCTCATGGTAATTATTCTTTTGAATATTTTTATTGGTTTGGAAAATAGAAGTATTTAGAGAATCTTTAAAACATTTTTTTGTTTAGTGTTTTGGTCATTTCTATTTAAACATAATTTTATCGATATTGTAGCAGATATTTTTGTTTTTGAAGTTTTATTTATGGTAACTAAGTTTTTTTAGATAAATGTTATGTTTGAAGAAGTATATTTGAATTTTAATTAAATTCTTCCTCATTGAAATTATTCTTTTCAATAATTTTATTTTTTTAGAAAATAGAAGTATTTAAGAGTATCTTTAAAATATTTTTTGTTTATTTTTTTGGTCATTTCTATTTAAATATAATTTTTTTTCATATTTTATCAAATATTTTTATTTTAGGTTAATAATTATTTATCCGTTGTTATATAGTTTTTTTTCTTCGAAAAATCCCTTAAAATTTTTTTATATGATTTATTTTTAATATTTGAAGATTCTTTCATTTTTCAGATTCATCACATCCCGTCATCAAAAAAATTGATGTGTCACTTTTTTTTTCCAATTTTTCATTTTTTTAGTGAATGGCCAAGTGCATTTTCATTTTTATTACTGTTCTGGGCAGACGCCACGACCCGCGCACTATTCGCGACAATCAATCAAATCAACTACCTCATCTTTGCCCAGGAGGAAAGACTGAGGGCGCTAGAAGACGATAAAAGACCTACGAGGAGACACAGGAAGCCTCAGACCCCACCTCCTCGAGTAACAGAGGTACATCTCCCGTCTTCCCCGCGGAGACAATTCAGAGATGCTTCCTGAAGCCCGTCGCCCCGACCATCGGGGAGACGGCCCCCCTTGGAGAGACAACCCGTCATCGAAGCCGGAGGGCGCGACCACGGCCCCATGCGGCAAGAAAGAAGACACCCTGGAGATAGGCACGGGAGAATAGACCAACGAGCATCCCGCTCGAGGGGTATTCAGCACGACCAGAACCGTCGGGCCCGACAATATCTCAGGTCCCCATCCCTATCCCCAGAGCGAAGTGACGAGGACGACCCCCGCGGTCCCCTTTCACAAGCCATCATGGAGGCACCCATTCCCCTGGGCATGTAGAAGCCTCCACATCTGAAAGAGTACGACGGAGTCGCGGACCCAGTCGACCACATAGACCGGTTCGAGGCTATGCTGCATTACCATAATGTCGGGGGACCCATCAAATGCTGGTTGTTTCCCACGACCCTCAGAAAGGTAGAAATGAATTGGTATAAAGGCCTCGCCCCAGGATCAATCACCTCGTGGCGAAACCTGAAGAATCAATTCATAAGTTCGTTCACTGCGTCTCAGCGACACCCAAAGACCGAGGCAGCACTCGAGGCCATCATCCAGAGGCAGGATGAAACCTTGAGAGAATTTATCAATCGCTTCAATCGCGAAGCCATAGAGGTCCCCTGCGCGGACCACATGAAAAGGTACTTACTGGAGAAGGGGCTCCTCCCCAGCACAAAATTCAGAAAGGCGGTGGGCATCGAACCACCCCGAACATTCGATGCTCTCCTCGAGAAGGCACGAGCATATATGGATTACGAGGAAGGGGAAGCGGCCAACAGAGCCCGGGACCCCAGAACTCGCAGATCCAGCAGTAACCCGCGCCAAGAATCCTCTCCTCCTCGACAAACCGGGGATAAAAGAAAAGAGAACAGACCCCGAGAAGTCCGAGAACAGAGAGGACCCTAGGGGAGTTTCACAGAATACACTCCGCTCACAGCTTCCCGCGAGCGCATCTTGGAGGAGTGTGCCAGCACAGATTTCAAAGATGGCGGCGTCAAGCGCCCTCGACCAGCTCCTGCCAAGCCTGGAGTAGACAAGAGCAAATATTGTCAGTACCATAGGAGCCACGGTCACCTGACTGAAGAATGCGTCCACCTCAAGGATGCCATCGAAACCCTCATCAAGGGAGGGAGGCTCGCCCAATACCGGTGAATTGACGCTCCCCATCGCGATGCCCGGGAGTTGAGAGAGCCGGAGGAGGACGCCCGACCATCTGACGAATCTGCCCCCATCCAGACCGCCTTCTCCGTCACAAGACCCGAGGACTTCTACGTCCCCGAACACCTGCGAGAGCCTCTCACGACGCACAACAGGTGGGAGTGCTTTCCCTCCGCCATGGTCATCAATGGTGGAGGATTCAACGACCTGACCATAAATTCGGCCAAGAGGAAGCTAGACGAACTGGTCGACTCTGCCCCTCCTCAGACAATGACTTTTGAAAGGGTGAAAGGTAGGTCGGAGCCTATCACCTTTTACCTCGAAGAGCTCCCCGGATGAGCCCCCAACGCAGTAATTCCTCTACTGATAAGAGCAAGAATGGCTAATTTTGACGTACACTGCATCCTCGTCGACGAAGGAAGTTCCGTCGACGTAATGTACAGTCAACTGTTCCGGACCCTACAGCTCGACGAATCACACCTTTCACCTTACGTGGGGTCGGACTTACAGGGCTTCAACGGCTCGACCTCCAAACCCTGGGGATACGTCGAGCTCATGGTTACCTTCGGCGAGGGAACAATGACAAGACAGGTCAAGGTGCGCTTCCTCGTCATCGACTGCCCGTCCCTCTACAACTGCATCCTGGGAAGACCAACACTAGCAGAGCTGACCGCGGTACCCTCCACCGTCCACTTGAAGATGAAATTCTACACCAAGAGGGCACGGGTCGCTACCATCCAAGGGGACCTGACCACTGCTCGAAGGTGTTTCAACGCGGCGTCCAAGGGACGCGACACGGTCGACACGGGGACAAGGCCCGCCAAGAGACCAGCAACGACACGACAAGAGCCCGACAGGCTAGAGCCAGTCAAAGCAGAAGAGCAGAGACCTCCCCCAAAAGTCGACTCCATAGCTCTGGACGCCCGCTTCGATCAGGACGAACCTCCCAACGGCGAGCAAATCCCCCTCCGACCAATTTCGGACGGGGACTTCGAGCTTGTCCCCCTTGGCGAGGACCCAAGCAAAGGAGTGAAGATTGGTACCGACCTCCCCGACCTGGAGAGGAAGCAGATCAAAGCCTGCTTGCGCGAGAATGCTGACTTGTTCGCGTGGAGCGCCGCGGTGATGCCCGGACTCGACCCTGAGGTCGCCTGTCACCATCTCGCCATAGATCCAACCGCTAAGGCAGTAGTACAATGTAGGCGTAGGTAGTCTCCGGAGAAAACGGAGGCTGCTGAAAAAGCTATAAAAGACCTCCTAGAGCAGTCTTTGCCCAAGCAAGACAATGCAAGATGAGGTTCAATCCCGAGAAGTGCACGTTCGGGGTTAAGGCAGGGAAATTTCTCGGGTTTTACCTAACAGAACGAGGAATTGAAGCCAATCCCAACAAATGTCGAGCCTTCTCCGACCTCCCGACTGCTACATCAAAGAAATCAATACAAATCATGAACGACATGCTTACCTCGCTATCCCGCTTCGTCGCGAGATCCACCCAACACGCCCTCCCATTCTTCAAACTCCTTCACAAAGAAGCGGCCTTCGAATGGACCGAGGAATGTGAACGGGCACTGCGCCACCTGAAACAAAGTCTATCCCAACCACCCGTACTATCTCGACCAGTCGACGGGGAGCCTTTATTCCTATACTTGGCCGTCTCGAACGAAGCCATCAGCGCGGCTCTAATTCGCGAGACCACCGACGGGCAGAAACTCGTTTATTTCACGAGCAAAGCCCTACAAGGACCTGAGAGAAGATACCAACAGATAGAAAAAGTATCTCTAGCCCTCGTCAATGCGGCAAGGAGACTCAGACACTATTTTCTGGCCCACACAGTCATAGTACGAACCGACCAACCGGTAAAACAACTTTTAGGTCGACCTGACATGGCGGGCCGAATGTTGAAATGGTCTTTGGAACTCTCCGAGTTCGACATTTAATACAAGAGCAGGAAAGCTCTAAAGGCGCAAGCCCTGGCCGACTTCGTCGCAGAAATGACCTCTCACAACCCGCCCACAGGGAAAGAGCACAAGTGGACCATCTTCGTCGATGGAGCTTCCAGCTCGTCCGGAAGCGGCGCGGGGATCCTCCTAGAAAATGAGGAGGGGGTAGTGATCGAGCACTTGTTAACCCTCTCCTTCCCAACTTCAAACAACCAAGCAGAGTACGAGGCCCTACTCGCAGGACTGAAGCTAGCCGAGGACCTAGGAGCCTGCAAAGTACAAATTTTCACGGACTCTCAACTCGTTGCTTCCCAAGTCCGAGGGAGTTACCAAGCTAAAAATGAAAGCCTCGTTGAATACCTAAACTTAGTCAAAGAACACATGAAGAAGTTCGACCGAGCAGAAATATCACACGTCCCGTGCGAGCAAAACACAAGGGCCGACATACTGTCCAAGCTCGTAAGCACAAGA